TGTCGTATAGCTCGAGTTAAGTACAGAAAACCGAGAGCGCCTATCAAGATGACTCGAATAATACGAATAGGTTTGCGGACCTAGCTCGGCTAGCAGACCGAGTTCAGACCTCTGGATGCAACAGGCAAACGCGCCTGATCATTCTGAATAGATAAGGTGTGCTTACCAGCTCTGTAGCTGTCCTGTATCCCAAATTAACCCCAATATACCGAGAGCGCGTATCAAGATGACTTGAAACGGCCGATCCCGCCTGCCTGCTTTTTGGCAATAAAAGGTACCCGATCGAGCTGAGATCAAGATGGCGAGCAGGAATAAGATCGAATCTCATTGGAAAAATACTAGAGCTCTAACGAATGGTTGAATTTCGAGAACAAAAATTTCAACCGAGCAAAAATCAGCAAAAGATCCGGATTTTTCTTGCCAACTGGCACTCCAGCGCCCCGAAATTACCCTTAAGCTTCCAGCAATAACTGGGCGCCGGCGGTAAACCGTCAACCTTTCTTACCGCCGGGGTACTCGTAGAGCTTCCTGACAATATCTAACGTCGAAAAAAGATTGCAGAGAACGAATAGTTTTTCAGCCTAAGCGATTTCAGACCTCTCGATGCAACAGCCGAACGCCCCCGATGCTTCTGGATTGTCTTCTGCACGAGCTCTTTTAGCTCTCCCACAGCCCGAGCTACGTGCGTACATCGACAGCACCTCTGAAGATGACTCGAACAATTGAAATAGTTTGGGAAATCTAGCTCGAGTATCAGACCGAGTTCACGCCTCTGAATGCGACAGGCGGACGCGTCTGATGTCTCCGAATCGATTCCTGTGATTAACATCCCTGCAACCCCCCTTCAGCTCACTCAAACAATACGAATAATTTCGCGAACCTAGTCGGGCAGCAGACCGAGTTCCGAGCTCTGGATCGACAGGCGAACGCGCCTGATGTCTCCGAATCGATTCCTGAGATTACCAGCCCTGTAGCCCCCCCCTACAACCCGAGCTATTACAGAAAACCGACAGCACCTCTCAAGATGACTCGAACAATACGAATAGTTTCGCAATTCTAGAACGGGCAGCAGAACGAGTTCAGAGCTCTGGATTCGACAAACAGCAAACGCGAATCATGGCTCTGAATCGGTTTATGTAAGCATCAGCTCTGTAGCTGTTATGAGGCACGAGTTAAGTACAAAAAACCGAGAACGCCTGTCAAAATGACTTGAAAAATACGAATAGGTTTGCGGACCTGGCTCGGCTAGCAACCCGAGTTCAGACCTCTGAATGCAACAAACGAACGCGCCTGATCATTCTGAATCGATAAGTGTGCTTACAAGCTCTGCAGCTGTCCTGCTTATCTCAAATCAAATTTCAAATAAACTGACAGCGCGTATATCAAGATGACTCGAAACGGCCGTTCCCGCCTGCCTGCTTTTTGGCCTTCAAAGTTACCCGATCGAGCTGAGATCAAGATGGCGAGCGGGAATAAGATCGAATATCATGGGAAAAAATACTAGAGCTCCATCGAATAGTCAAATTTCGAGAACAAAATTTCAACCGACCAAAAGTCAGCAAAAAAGTCTGTCGAGATGTTTCTTGCCAACTAGCTCTGCAGCGCCTCGGAATACTCTTAAGCTTCCAGCAACAGTTTGCTAAGGGAAGCTCTACGACTTATTTGCAAAACCACCCAAATTGCCACTTTGTCCTTTCTGCTAGGGTCGACCAACTGGGCGCCGGCGGTAAACCGCGGTTAACTTTCTTACAACCAGCGGGGAGGACTCAGTAGAGCTTCCTGCAAATATATAATTTGAAAAAATTAAGAAACGCTAAAGGTGTTCCAACCCAAACGATTTCAAAACGCCCTCGCAATCTGTAGCTCTTCTACAACCCAAATTACGCGCAAAAACTCGGGACAACACCCCAAAATAACTCCAAGAATTGAAACAGTTTCCCAAAGCTAGCTCGAGAATCAAACCAAATTTGAATCTCTAATGCGACAAGCGGATGCGTAAACGATCCCTGCGATTACCAACCCTCACCCCTACAACCCAAATTAAGTGCAAAAAAAACCCCTCTGAAAATAACTCGAACAATACAAATAGTTTTGCGATTCTAGATCGAGAAGCAAAACGAGGGCTCTGGATTCAATTTAATCCGAAAAAATACTGGAAAACGAGTGAAGCATTTTGTAGCCGGGTTGATGTTGTTTTGTTGTTTGATTTGTTTTGTTTTTCTTGAATATCAACACAAATTGTTTTGAAAAAAGGCGTTCGCAATGTTGGCGTTTTCTTGTTTATTTTTTGTGGAAATATTAGAATGTATTGCAATTTTGGAACCTTAAGAGGAATTCCGGCACGTCGCTTATTGCAAAAAAAAAACATCTCATTTTATTTTATCTAAATGTAAATATGTTCTCGGAATTGAATCATTCGGTTAACTTTATTATTTTTTATATCTGATCCCATTCCCGTTCTGAGAACTGCGAATGAAACAAACTGCAGGAAAGTGCTTAGATTATAAAATATGTGTGGTTACACACTCAGATATTGTGATCAGACTGCGTACTTATAAAAAATTCAAGTGCAAGAATGTAAACCCGAAACCATTCGCAAACATAGTCCATTTATCATTTCGACATTCTCGTGCTACTCGGACAAAAACACGTATGAATTTAAATAAAATAAGACTCTTTAAAGACAATCTTATTTCTCAATATGTCTGAACGACAAAAAAAACTGTTCTTCCGAAATATCAACGAGATATATATGCTAAACTCTTCTTATTGCGATAGTAGATGGGTATAATAAATATGGCGACTGATAAAACAAAACATATACGACGATGAACAAAGAATCAAAATACAAAATGATCAGAAACATTATACGGCATCCGGTGCTTTCTCGAACCTGTTTCCATCTCGTAGAATCATAAAATGGGTTCACGAAATACATCACTTAACTATACACGATATACTACAAGTTTCTAATTCTTCAAAACTATGTGTCTCACGTTAATGTTACTAAACAAACAAACAACAATGTTGAACATAACTCCAATATTCAATGTGTGATAAAATGCTATGTCACCTGACAGAGAATGTACTCTCTTGCTCAGAATTACACACACCTACAAACACACACAAGCACGATATATATATATATCGACAACACTCGAATCACGAGTTACAAAAGAATTAAATCGTGAGTTAATACTTTTCATCTCGGGTACGCACATCCACATCCAAAAAATTAAATCGCGAGTTAATACCTTCTCATGCTTCCACCGACAGAAAAGAAAGTTAACTTGCGAGAGAATTCTTTTGGTGCCCAACGAGACAGAAAATATCAACTCCAATGTAAAACGTTTCCTACCCTTGCCAGTGGCAACATACTAATCTATGTAGAAATAATATTCGTGATAGCGAATAGTAAAGGTAGTGGCCATAGTAGTAGTCGTCGTCGTCGTCGTCGTCGTCGTCGTCGTCGTCGTCGTCGTCGTCGTCGTCGTCGTCGTCGTCGTAGTGGTAGTAGTAGTAGTAGTGTCGTTAGTAGTAGTAGTAGTAGTTATTAGTCAGTAGTAGTAGTAGGAGTAGCTAGTAGTAGTAGTAGTAGTAGAAGTAGTAGTAGTAGTAGTAGTACTACTAGTTTTTTTTTTAAACTTTTTTAGTTTTTTTGTTTAGACTTTAGTACTAGTAACTAGAACTAGTCACTAGTACCTAGTACTAGTACTAGTAGTAGTAGTCGTAGGCCAGCCAGCGAGCAAGACAGCCGCAGCAGCAGTTAGTAGTAGTAGTAGTAGTGATTAGTAGTCAGCAGCAGCCAGCAGTAGTAGTAGTAGTAGTAGTAGTAGTAATAGTAGTAGTAGTAGAAGTAGTAGTAGTAGTAGCTGTACTAGTAGTACTTGAACTAGTAATATTAAAGTAGTAGTAGTAGTAGTAGTAGTAGTAGTAGTGGCAGTAGTAGTAGTAGTAGTACAAGTAGTATTAGTAGTAGTAGTAGTAGTAGTAGTAGTAGTAGTAGTAGTAGTAGTAGTGGTGGTAGTAGTAGTCGTAGAAGTAGTAAAACGAGTAGTAGTCGTAAAACTCTTAGTAGTCCATCTCTCAATCATCCCCTATCTCTCCCGTCTCTCGTTTCCTTGTAAGCTGTTGTCGCCGTCGTCTGCCGTCGACCTTCTCCCTCTGCTCTCACTCTCGCTTCTGCTTTTCCGCCGCGCGCTTGTGCAGCCAGCCCTCTAAATCGCAATCACTGAATTAATTTAGTACTACTATACAGAAACATCGCTGCACTCTGCACAGCAATTCCCGGAGAGCTCCCTGAGAGCTAGAGGGTTTTAGATTAGAAGCCGGACGGTGGTGGTGCCCGCCAGCAGCCCATCTTCGCCAAAATCCCCGCAGCGGCTCGCCCGGGGTCGCACCCTGTCCGGGAGAGCTTCCGGCAAACGTCCACGCGTACCTGCACGCGCGCAGGCACGCGTGGGAACGTTCCTGGCAGCGCTTCAGAAGCGCTGTATGGGGAGCCCCCCAGAGCTCCAGAAGCGCTTCATGAGAGCCGAGAACTCGCCTTTGCTCTCCGGGTTTTGGACGCTACCAAGTCAATACCGACACCTACAAATACAACAAGGCTATAGCTACACGACGCGGCCGCAAGCCGGACGGTCCACTCACACAGCAGGGCGATGCGCGCGGATGATTGCTTGAGCCAACAAAAAAACACTGCTCGAGGGCTCCGAGATCTGGTCTGGTCGTAGATCGCCGATCGAAGGCCTCCGCACCATCCCTGCCGTCTTTGCTACCCTTGCTTGCTGCTAGAGGACGGGGCTTTATCGTCGAAACTTTTGCATTCCTTTGGGCTGGCTTTTCTTTGGAATCCCAAACCCTACAACCCAAACCTAAAACCACCTAGAAACCCTAACCGATACATACAACCCTGAATCCTGAACCCCTAACCCTAATCACCCCCAAATCAGTCCTAAACCTTTAAACGGGGCGCGGCGGTAAACCGCCAACCAGGTTTTTTGCGTCTTTGCTGGGACCATCTTGGCCACTGAGGCCAGGTCCTACAAAGTCTCAGGCGAAGCGAAGTCTCTTAAAGACGTTCGGCACAACCTGTGGGAGCACATCACATAGAGGACTCCAAAGTGTTCAACCCTCGAGCAGTTACGAAACTGATGAGGCGAAAATAATAATACGACATGAGAGCCAGGAGACCTGGCCAAGAACTGAACATGCACACACTGAATTAGTAGAGCACAAACAAAAGAGACTATGCACTGAATATGGATGCATTGAATGACCACACGAGGCAATCACAATCAAAAATTCCAAAACAATAAGTTCGGATTGAAAGGAAACACTCGAAGAATACGAATATCTACCGCAGAGGCCAAACCTGAGATTTACACCTTCGTTCAAAGTCCGTCAACGTCCTACCGAACCTACACACTTCGTCACACTCCTGACCTCCTATGTCGGCGCCTTTACCTTTGCCTTTGCCTTTGCCTTTGCAGGCAGTACTTCCACATGACGACGTTGTATCGTTCCTCGGACGTCCATAGGATTGGATTCGGAATTCGTCGCACTTGGAATCCTGTAGAAACTTGGCAGCCTCGGCACGGTTCATCTGCCCTGTAAGATATCTGTGCCTCTCGAAGAATTCCAGAAGGTCCTCCAACGTCGCTTGCACATTCTCGAACGTCCCGCGCTTCCGCACAGCATAATTTGCCCTGGCCTTTGCAGGGATCCCACCTTCTGTCAGAAGTTCTGCAAACAAATCCACTCCATTCTTTAAATACTGGAACGCATTCGACTCGTTGGTACTGCCAGCAGCGTCAATCCATGCCTTAACATCGGCAATGGTGGCCTGGGAGCACGTGGAAGTCCCCTTGGCCTTCACATCGGAAGAAGATGAGACCACTGCCTTGACATCAGAAGAAGAAGAATATGAAAGAGCTGCATACGTGTCAGAAGAAAATGAGACCACTGCCTGCACATCTTTCCCACCTGACTCACGAAGGCGTAGAGCTTCCTTGCACGCAGGCGTCTGACTTTGCGTAGAGCTCATGAAGGCGTAGACCCACTGAGTTTGCACGCCAGCATCCATTGAAGTGAACTGAGTTTGCACACAGGCGTCCTTGCCAGTGAACTGAGTTTGCACGCCAGCATCCATTGAAGAAACGTTTGGGGAATCCGTGAAAGCGTCCACTTCGGCACCGTTGTGCATACCAAACACAAGATTCTCTGTTTGCACACCGGCGCCCATTAAAGAGAGCTGAGTTTGTACACAGGCGTCCTGCACGCTGGCGGCAGCGGAACTCCCAACTGTTGAACTCCCAATTGCACTGTCATAAGAATTGGTCTGGCACAAAGTCAAACCAACTGCGGAACTTCCAAATGTTGAACTCCCAACTGCTGTTGAACTCCCAACTGCACTCTCATAGGAATGGGCATGACAAAGAGTCGGGGGGGTCTCCGTTTGCACATCGACACACACAGTCCGGCAAAAAGAAGACAAAGTCTGCACTCCCACTTCCTGGGTCCCCCCTCTGCAGTCTCCCTCCAATCCAGGCGGAGCAGCCAATTCTGTCAGAAGAATCGTATAAGTATCGGTTTTTGGCAACAACGAGTCCAAGCAAACGGGAATACATGGCGGCTTGCAGAAGCCCAAATAAACGGCCCGAGATCTTCGTGCAGCTCGCCTGTGACAACTGCGAACATGTGGCATGATTCGTGCAACGAGAAACAAGAATCAAATTCAGGAATAAGTCACACGCACACGGCGGATCTCCACGCGAGGCGCAGGTACAATACAAATTGCCACAAACACACCGCAACAAGGAATGAATATGAGAGGCCAACAAAGAGAGACAAGATGTACAGGGAGATGGGCAGTTGCGTAGGCAGAGCAAAACACCACGCTAGCTCAACGTTCACCTTCGCGGATGTTCCCCAGGCAGGAGAAAATGAACGTACGCGGAGCTTGAGCCGGCAGCGCTTGAGCCGGGGGACTCGTAGAGCTTCCTGACAATATATAATGTCGAAAAAAATGCAGGGAACGAATAGTTTTTCAGCCCACGGAACCCCGGATGCTTCTGAATTGTCTTCTGCACTAGCTCTGTAGCTCTCCTACAGCCCCGAGTTACGTGCGTAAATCGACAGCACCTCTCAAGATGACTCGAACAGTACGAACAGTTTGGCAAACCTAGCTCGAGTCTCAGACCGAGTTCAGAGCTCTGGATTCGACAGGCGGACGCGCCTGATGTCTCCGAATCGATTCCTGTGATTACCAGCCCTGCAGCCCCCCTACAGCCCGAGTTAAGTGCAGAAAACCGACAGCTCTCAGGATGCCTCGAACAATACGAATAGTTTCGCGGACCTAGTTTGGGCAGCAGACCCAGTTTCGAGCTCTGGATTCGACAGGGGGACCCGCCTGATGTCTCCGAATCGATTCCTGTGACTACCAGGTAGCCCCCCTACAGCCCGAGTTAAGTAGAGAAAACCGACAGCACCTCTCAAGATGACTCGAAGAATACGAATATGTTCGCGATTCTAGATCGGGCAGCAGACCGAGTTCAGAGCTCTATATTCAACAAACGAACGCAACTGATGATTCCGAATCGGTTTCTGTAAGTATCGACTCTGTAACTGTCGTATAGCTCGAGTTAAGTACAGAAAACCGAGAGCGCCTATCAAGATGACTCGAATAATACGAATAGGTTTGCGGACCTAGCTCGGCTAGCAGACCGAGTTCAGACCTCTGGATGCAACAGGCAAACGCGCCTGATCATTCTGAATCGATAAGGTGTGCTTACCAGCTCTGTAGCTGTCCTGTATCCCAAATTAACCGCAATATACCGAGAGCGCGTATCAAGATGACTTGAAACGGCCGATCCCGCCTGCCTGCTTTTTGGCAATAAAAGGTACCCGATCGAGCTGAGATCAAGATGGCGAGCAGGAATAAGATCGAATATCATTGGAAAAATACTAGAGCTCTAACGAATGGTAACTCGTAGAGCTTCCCTTAGCAAGTTATTGCTGGAAGCTTAAGAGTAATTCCGGGGAGCTGGAGAGCTAGTTGGCAACAAAAATCTCGACGGACCTTTTGGTGACTTTTGGTCGGTTGAAAATTTCGTTCTAAAAATTTGACCATTCGTTAGAGCTCTAGTATTTTTTCTCATCATATTCGATCTTATTCCCGCTCGCCATCTTGATCTCAGCTCGATCGGGTAACTTTGAAGGCCAAAAAGCACACGGGCGGGAACGGCCGTTTCGAGTCATCTTGATACGCGCTGTCGGTTTTCTCAAGATAACTCGAGCTTCAGGACAACTACAGAGCTGGTCAGCACAGCTAATGCATTCAGAATGATCAGGCGCGTTCGCCTGTTGAATCCAGAGGTCTGAACTCGGTCTGCTAGCCGAGCTAGGGTCGCAAACCTATTCGTATTATTCGAATTATTGTAGTAGACGCTCTCGGTTTTTCGTACTTAACTCGATCTGTAGGGCAGGCACAGAGCTGATAATCACAGAAATCGATTGAGAATTATCAGGCGCGTTCGTCTGTTGAATCAAGAGCTCTGAACTCGGCCTGCTCCCCGAGCTAGGTTCGTGAACCTATTGGTATTGTTCGAGTCATCTTGAGAAGTGCTCTCGGTTCTGTACTTAAATCGTGCTGGGGGGGGGGGCTACAGTGCTGCTGGTCAGAGAAACCGATTCGAGACATCAGGCGCGCCCGTTCGCCGAACCGAGAGCTCGGAACTCGGTCTGCTGCTCGAACGAGATCCGCAAAACTGTTGTATTATTCGAGTCATCCTGAGAGGTACTCTCGGTTTTCTGCACTTAACTCAGGCCGTATTGGTGGCTGCAGAGCTGGTAATCACAGGAATCGATCTGCAGACATCAGACGCGTCCGCCTGTCGCATTCAGAGATCTGAACTCAGTCTCATACTCGAGCTCGATTGGAAAACTGTCATCTTGAGGGGTCTATGGGCTGGAAAACTAGTCGTTCTCTGAAATCCTTTTCCACATTATATATTGTCAGGAAGCTCTACGAGTCCCCCGGCGGTAAGAAAGGTTGACGGTTTACCGCCGGCGCCCAGTTGGCTCGAAAAATCTCGACGGAACTTTTGACGACTTTTGGTCGGTTGAAAATTTTGTTCTCGAAATTTGACCATTCGTTAGAGCTCTAGTATTTTTTCCCGTGATATTCGATCTTATTCCCGCTCGCCATCTTGATCTCAGCTCGATCGGGTAACTTTAAGGCCAAAAAGCACGGTGGCGGGAACGGCCGTTTCGAGTCATCTTGATACGCGCTGTCGGTTTTTCGAACATAACTCGAGCTCTAGGGCAGCTACAGAGCTGGTAAGCACAGCTAATGCATGCAGAATGATCAGGCGCGTTCGCCTGTTGAACCCAGAGGCCTGAACTCGGTCTGCTAGCCGAGCTAGGTCCGCAAACCTATTCGTATTATTCGAGTCAACTTGAACGCGTTGTCGGTATTTTCAACTTAACTCGAGCTGTAGGGCAGCTACAGTGCTGGTGGGCACACCCATCGCATGCAGAATCATCTGGCGCGCTCGCCTGTTGAATCCATAGGTCTGAACTCGGTCTGCAAGCCGAGCTAGGTCCGCAAACCTATTCGTATTATTCGAGTCAACTTGATACGCGTTGTCGGTATTTTCTACTTAACTCGAGCTGCAGGCCAGCTACAGTGCTGGTGAGCACACCTATCACACTCAGAATAATCAGGCGCGTTCGCCTGTTGAATCCAGAGCTCTGAACTCGGTCTGCTGCGCGATCCAGACTCACGAAACTGTTCGTATTCTTCCAGTCATCTTGACAGCTACTGTCGCCGTTCTGCACCTAACTCGGGCTGCAGGGGGGCTGCAGGGCGGTTAATCACATGAATCGATTCGGAGACATGAAACGCGTCTGTCTGTCGCATTCAGAGGTCCGAACTCGGTCTGATACTTGAGTTGGGCTGAAAAAAAAATTCGTTCTCTGCAATTTTTTTTGACATTATGTGTTGTCAGGAAGCTCTACGAGTCCCCCGGCGGTAACAAAGGTTGACGGTTTTCCGCCGGCGCCCAGTTGAATCGAGCAAAAATCAGCAAAAGATCCGGATTTTTCTTGCCAACTGGCACTCCAGCGCCCCGGAATTACCCTTAAGCTTCCAGCAATAACTGGCGTCAACCTTTCTTACCGCCGGGGTACTCGTAGAGCTTCCTGACAATATCTAACGTCGAAAAAAGATTGCAGAGAACGAATAGTTTTTCAGCCTAAGCGATTTCAGACCTCTCGATGCAACAGCCAAACGCCCCCGATGCTTCTGGATTGTCTTCTGCACGAGCTCTTTTAGCTCTCCCACAGCCCGAGCTACGTGCGTACATCGACAGCACCTCTGAAGATGACTCGAATAATTGAAATAGTTTGGGAAATCTAGCTCGTGTCTCCGAATCGATTCCTGAGATTACCAGCCCTGTAGCCCCCCCCCCCCTCTACAACCCGAGCTATTACAAAAAACCGACAACACCTCTCAAGATGACTCGAACAATACGAATAGTGTCGCAATTCTAGAACGGGCAGCAGAACGAGTTCAGAGCTTTGGATTGGACAAACAGCAAACGCGAATCATGGCTCTGAATCGGTGTATGTAAGCATCAGCTCTGTAACTGTTATGAGGCACGAATTAAGTACAAAAAACCGAGAACGCCTGTCAAAATGAATTAAAAATTACGAATAGGTTTGCGGACCTGGCTCGGCTAGCAACCCGAGTTCAGACCTCTGAATGCAACAAACGAACGCGCCTGATCATTCTGAATCGATAAGGTGTGCTTGCCAACTCTGCAGCTGTCCTGTATCAAATCAGATCCAATAAACAGCGCGTATCAAGATGACTCGAAACGGCCGATCCCCAACGCGCTTTTTGGCAGTAAAAAGTACCCGATCGAACTGAGATCAAGATGGCGAGCGGGAATAAAAATCGAACATCACGGGAAAAAATACTAGAACTCTAACGAATGGTTGGGTTCGAGAACAAAATTTTCAACCGACCAAAAGTGACCAAAAAAAATGTCGAGATGTTTCTTGCCAACTAGCTCTGCAGCGCCTCGGAATACTCTTAAGCTTCCAGCAACAGTTTTTGCAAAACCACCCAAATTGCCACTTCGTCCTTTCTGCCAGGGTCGACCAACTGGGCGCCGGCGGTAAACCGTTCTCCTTTCTTACAATCAGCCGGGAGACTCGTAAAGCTTCCTGCCAATATATAATGTTAAAAATTAAGAACGAATAGTTGTCCAACCCAAACGATTTCAAAACGCCCTCGCACTCTGTAGCTCTTCTACAACCCAAATTACGCGTAAATCGACAACACCCCAAAATAACTCCAAAAATTGAAACAGTTTCCCAAAGCTAGCTCGAGAATCAAACGAAATTTGAATCTCTAATGCGACAAACGGATCAATCCTCACCCCTACAACCCAAATTAAGTGCAAAAAAACACCTCTAAAAATAACTCGAGCAATACAAATACTTTTGCGATTCTAGATCGAGAAGCAAAACGAGGCCTCTGGATTCAATTTAATCCGACAAAATACTGGAAAACAAGTGAAGCATTTTGTAGCCGGGTTGATGTTGTTTTCTTGTTTGATTTGTTTTGTTTTTCTTGAATATCAACACAAATTGTTTTGAAAAAAGGCGTTCGCAATGTTGGCGTTTTCTTGTTTATTTTTGTGGAAATATTAGAATATATTGCAATTTTGGAACCTTAAAAGGAATTCCGGCACGTCGCTTTTTGCCAAAAAAAACATCTCATTTATTTTATCTAAATGTAAATATGTTCTCGGAATTGAATTATTCGGTTAACTTTATCATTTGTTATATCTGATTCCATTCCTGGTCTGAAAAACCTTGCGGCGGGATTTTCTTTCGAAACATAATCATAAATATCATTATTTTGTTTCTATTTTTTCGAAATGAAAACAAACTCAAAATCTGTACACAAATCGATCGAGAACTATCTTACGAGACCCAATTACGGTGCGAAATGTGGCTGCGAACAATTTTGAAATGTTCA